AGGAAGAGAAAATTCTTCCCAATCTCCACCGCTTTTCTTTTTTCCCTTTTTTTTTTTTTTTGTACAACAAATACTAATTTCCATCTCATCTTCCATTTTTAAACAACTACTAAAATTTATTCCTTCCGATTAAGATCTAAACACTGTCCTTCTAGTTCCCGGCTATACACACATTTTTCGATCGTGTCCGCGAGGGCCAGATTGGAGACAAAGTAAATCGAACTAAGAAACGAATGGAAAAAACGCCGTGGTCGGACAACGATCTTTGTACTTACAAATATATAGAACTATATGTATACAATTGATATATGCTTTACGAAGCCTGCTCTTCGTGAAATCGCGATTTAATATTTACAACGTATCGAGAAGAAAAAAAAAAAAAGGGTAACGAATAATAACGAGAAGAATACTGTAATAATGAAGAGAGCAAGAGATTCAACGGAACAACGCGCAAAATTCCGCGAATCCCTTTCAGGCAACGTAAACTGTTTTATTAAAGCTGCAAAGCGGCAATGTTGTCCCCACTGCATTTTTTTCTTTTTTTCCTTTTTTTTTCTTTTTTTTTTTCCTTTTTTTTTTTTCTTTTTTTTTTGATTAACTTCGACTATATAAATTGACATTCTAGATTTGTTGATAAATCGACAGCGAGCAGATTAACTATCATACGAATTTACATGCTCTCTCACGTTTGCTGTCGATTCTCTCTTTTCTAAAAAACTCGCCTGTAATTTTTCTATATTTAATTTTGACTATATTTGGAACAAAATTACTACACGCTGCTATTATGATATAAACGCGTGTGATCGATGCACGCCTGATTTTCATTCACTATCTTAATCTATATTAATCTCCGTTCCATTATAGTCCAACCAGGTACACTATTTTTCCTCGTTTCTTTTCTTAAATATTTACGAAGCATCGGCTTAACCCGATTAAAATTTTGATTGTGATGTTTCGATTGCGTATCGTGAATATTTAACGAAATTCGCGCGGATGAAGAACAGTTTTATTTTCCTTTCTCTATAACGAAAGTAAGGATCAGGCGACCTCGATCACTAACGTTACGTCACTCGCGGCGCTCAAACGCTGTGCGAATGAATATATACACAGCTAAAAACCTTGGCTACAAATTTCGCTATTTCCCTGTGTAATTCACGTGCTAAAAGACGCCGTGCAGCCTTTTTTATCAAGTTCATCCGAGTTCAAGACAATAAATAGAAAAACAATACAATTAGTGAAAAAAAAAAAAAAAATGGATAACTGCACGATTTCGATACGCTTTTTCTTCTCCTCTCGTGAGACGTATCCCTCTTGAGCTTGATCAGAGGGCCGCCGACACATTAAATTTTTACCTAGAAAATTTTTCCTAAACTGTACATAACGCTTCGAAAGCGTTAGAAGAACGCTAACCCTATCCTAGAATGTATCCCTCCTCCTCCCAACGCCGAGTTACAACGCTAACAAACGATCTATACGAACGCCTCCTCTGGCCACGAACGGATAATGATATATCCGCGATCGAATCTCGCGGACATTGTGATTACCGTAATCGGTGAAACGTTCATTCGCTCTGTTCCATCCGAAACACGATTTCCGTTCATCAGTCTTCTGTTTAAGCGGTGGACTCCTGCAGGCCGTAATAATGGACTCGCATATTCTCTATCGCTCTACACCATTCCAATGCGAATCCCTCGGGATCTTCCAGATAATACGTTCTGTTTGGCTGTAAAACGAGATGTAAAAGATTAGAAACAACGTAAATTATCCCTATAAGGAGGAAAAGAAAGATACTCACCGTGTGGACGAAGAAAATTTTGAAGCTCTTTGGCTCGACCCTAAGCTCCGGACTCCAGGGTATTTCCCCCTTGAGCACCATGTTCACAGGATCAACGTAGTACAGGTGTGGTCCGGTAGTGAGCAGAAGCATTCTCCGTCTCGCGAAGAGCCCTTTCCTTTTGTTAACGAACCCTTGCTTCAATATCAAGTTCCCCTCAACGAACCCGTCCCACTGATTAGAGGCACGTTGCTTCTCCAATCGGTTCCTGATCTCCTCAGGCGTTAGGTCGGCGATGTTACCGTCGCTGGTGATCTTGGTCCTCCTCGGCTTCTCGCATACGACGGTGCTGGTCTGCGCGGGTTTCTCGCGCTCGGTCGTTGCGTCCTCGTCGTCGTCGTCGTCATCATCCTCGCCGATGCCAAGACCGAGAAGCCTCGTCAGCTGTTTGTCGTCGAGGCCGGGCTCCAGGTGATCGGGAACCCTGTACTGCGACCTGAGCTCCTCGTTCTCCGACGTGCCGGGTAGGTAGGGGTATATCGGCGGCGGTGTCTGTTCGTGGAGGGTCTCGAAGTCGACACCCTCGAAGAACGGATGCGCCCTTATGCTGGGATAACCGGCACCGTGTTCGTCCTGCGCGCCCAATCTCTGCGACGGCTCGAGCACCAACAGCTGACTGACGAGGGACCTCGCCAGCTCGCAAAATCCATCGGGGATCTCGTACTCGAGCTTCAGGATTTTCTGGAATATCATGTACTCGCTCCTGGAGC